ACGAATGGCTGAATTATAGCACTTAATACTTTTTTGTGTNATCAGCACATACAAATTGACGACGAATGGCTGAATTATAGCACTTAATACTTTTTTGTGTACAAGAATAACCCAATAAAATATACTTGATAGATTTAGGATCAACTTTGTCCATGCCAGGACCTAANTAAAATATACTTGATAGATTTAGGATCAACTTTGTCCATGCCAGGACCTAACAGATGAACAAAATCTACACAACCAAAAAACAAGTGGTTGAATAGAGAACAAAGGACGATCAGGAAATACAAGTTGGTGTGGAATTTGACCATCAAGAGCAGAAGGCGACATAGGATTAATGAGGTGACAAGTAGTTTGCATAGCATCACTCCAAAACACTTGAGGTACTTTCATATGAATCAAAAGAGCACGAGCAACTTCAATGAGGTGGTGATTTTTACGTTAAGCCACTTCATTCTATTGTGGGGGTGCCACTACATGAAGTACAATGGAGCAAACCATGAGCTATGAAAAAATCATGAAATGGGTGAGAAATATTCCTTTACATTATCATATTGGAAAGTACAGACACACCAAATTGAGTCTTGATTTCCATAATAGAAACTTTGAAAATAGAAAACAATTCAGAACGATATTTCATTAAGAATAGTCAAGTCATCCCGAAAAAATCGTCCACAAAAGTAACAAAATACTTAAACCCTAAATAAGAAGAAACACGATTAGGACCCCAAATATCAGAATGAATAACTTCAAAAAAACTAGAGACACGACTACAAACTCTAGGAGTAAATGAACTTCGAATATGTTTACCTAACTAACATGACTCTCAATCGAAAGACGACAACTGATGCAACTAAGGAACTAACTGCTGAGGACTTCGTAAAGATGGACCAAGTCAACAATGTCATTGATGTGGAAAACATGAAGTGTGTAAAAAAAAGTGGCAAGCAAGAACTACATCAAGAAAGTAAACACCGTTGTCTTGATTACCTCCACCAATCATCTTCCTCATTTGGAGATCCTAAAACATAAAGAAAAAAGGATAAAATATTACGGAATAATTTAAAGATTTAGTGAATTAACTCACAGATATCAAACTGAATGAAAATTTAGGAACATGCAAGACAGAGGATAAAGACAATGAGAATGTAGGGCTTACAGTGCCAACACCAGATACAAAGGATGAAGATCCATTAGCTAATGTGACAAGTTGGTTAATAGAAATATGATTAAAATATAAGAATGTGGTCGCATTACCTATCATATGATCATAGACCCAGAGTCAATGACCCATGGAGATGAAGTAAGATGAATTAGACATCAAACATGTTGTACCTGACTAGGCCAAAGTAACTGCGGAAGTAGAAGTAGTAGGAACACTAGACTTAGAAACAAGATGATTATACTCCTCCTTGAACATAGATATAATCTTTGATGTGGATGGAGGCTCGCCGAGAGCAAACTGTCCTAAACCCAAATCACCTAAGAAAGACACAGCATAAGCATAAGAAGAGGGTTTGCCATGGAGATCCCAACAATAGTCTACTGTATGACCTTTAAGTCCACAATGAGTGCAAAACTTCATAGATCCACGACCTCTACCATCGCGATTGTCCATTGGTCGACGACTACCTCCTCTCTGCTCACTTCGATTTCCTCTGCCCCACAAGAGAAATTATGATTCCCTTTTTGAGGCAATACAGCTAAAGACGAGTAGTCACGTACAGAAACACCACTATCACTGAATGAAGCCCACTAAATATCACAAAAAACGTCTAGCATCGAAGGAATTTCCTTACTAGCCAAAATCTAAACACGAAAAGGTTTCAATTCTAATTTTAAACCTGAGAGGAAGCGATAAACTATTAATTCCTCACGCTACTTTTTTGGACTGTTAAATCAGTAGAGAATGGCTAATAAGCATATTAAGATTATTTATAATATTTTCCGATGCAAGTAGTATTCTTCAATATTCTTATCACCTTGCTTTAGACTGAACAAATCTAGAAATAACTGATAAATTCTAGTAATGTTTTCTTCTCCAAAAAACAAACAACTAACTGCAAGTCATATCTCCTTAGCAATTTCAAGATACATGAGATGAATACTAATCCAAGGTTTCATACTATTCCATAACACAATCATCACTTATGCATTATCCACTTTCCATTGTTTAAGCTTTGAATCAGATTCAATGGGCTTATCTTCTGTAAGATATTTAACTTTATTTTTCGCAATCAAAAACACTTCAACAGTACGCGAACAAGGCACGTAGTTATTGCCATTCAATTTAACGGAGGTAATAGACAAACCAGTAAAGTCTTGACTCACTACAGATCCAACACCACCGGAAGGAAATTTATTGTCTTCCATAATGCCCAGACCAAGCAAAAACAGAAACGGAAGAGTAGAAATAAAAACAAAAATAGAAACAGAAAAGTAAAAATAGAAACAGAAAAGCAAAAGGGCAAAAATAGAACTTATCAATCCAAAAGGGTAGAACCGATGCTAGATGGACTTCAAATGATCTGATCCATGTTGAACTGGTCTGGATGAATAAAAAACCGACTTGGGATGGACTGAACTGGTCTGGAAGCACGAAGAACCGACTTGAGATGGACTGAACCAAATAAAACCAAATTTGAACTAGTCTAGAAGGCGTCGAATCGACCTGAACTGGGTTAAACCGAACCAGTTTAAGTGTGAACCAGTTTGAACCAGGGCTAAACCGGTTTAAAAGATGTTGAATAGGTCCGGCTAGGCTGAACTTCAATACTTGGGCTTCTAAATAGATTGGGCTGGACTTTGAACTTGAACAAGGCTTTGGGCTTCAAAGATAAGTATGCTTAGGCTTATGATATAAGTATCCGAACCCAAAAGGAGGATCTGATTGAACTGGACCCTTTCTTCAACCTTCGATTGGTGACTTCTGAAACCCTAACTATGTCCCCTTATCTTCAACAATCAGCACCCAAACACTATCAACCGAAAACTCGATCAACAAACAACAACTTCGATTTCATTCAAAAACTCAACAACAAATTTCTTCAACTCCACTATGATACAATCAATTTATTCAATCACCAACATCAACGATTCTGGTGGTCAACAAAGGAGTACTCCACCTTGACGACGAACAACAACTCAACGGTGATCAGCGAACACCGACTCCACGTCGACGACAAACAATGATTCATAGTGACTCCATCTCAAGGGTGGCTCTGATACCATTTAAATAGTATAGCCAACGAGAGACGTAATTGAATTAGTAATAACATAGATATAGCCAATGGATGTTTGCAATCACTAAATATCTATGTTATGATGAATGGCAAGCCAAGGGAAAGGTTTAAGACATCGAGAGGATTGAAACCGAGTGATCCTTTATTTCCTTTTCTCTCTCTCTTAGTGCTGGTGGGTTGAGTAGGCACGTAAGGAAAGCAAAAAGATTTGGTCATGTGGAAGTTTTTGTCAAGGGAAGAGGTGGAATATCTATATTGTTGGATTGAATCTCAAGGAGACTTGTTGCACCTCTACAACATTTTGTAATTTGGTGCTGATATTATATGTTCCTTTTTTTTTTTTCTTTTTTTTTTTTTTTGGGGGGGGTGTGGGGAGGAGGAAGCGATTTTTACCAATTCTTCTCTTGATAAAATTTGTAAATTGGTAGAGATATTGGGGTGTAGAGTGGTCGAGTCACCATTAAAGTACTTAAGTCTTCCCTTGGGTAGGAATCCATAACCTTCGGCATTTTAGGACCTTATGAAAAAAGTGGGAAAAAGATTAGATGAGCATAAGAAAGCTTAAATTTATAGAGGGGATAAGTTAACGATAGATATTTATAAACTTTCTAAGTTGTACTAAGATTTTATGTAAAAATAGGTATTGTAGTGTTTTTTTAAGTAAAACTTGAATTTTTTTTAAAATTTTAATATGCTTGATAACATATATTATAAAATAGTTTATTAAATCTTCTCCCAATTTACCTAATTAATTCCTAATTCCAATATGGTTCCAATGTAATTAGTATATTGGCAATTACTTTTATTTTATTCAAGGAATTATAAATGAAATTCTAATAAAATGAATTTAAAAAAAAAATAATTTCTCTAACATCACTAAAAAATCAATCTCAATCACAAAATTCAAAAAAAGAATATAAGACTTTAACTATTTTTTTTTTCTTTTTGTTACTATAGTTAGAACAAAGAATGTTGGGAACATACAAAGTTATCATAATCTTATAATAGAATAAGTAATGAAAAATTCCGTTTAGTAAATATGAGATGATATTTAATTCAAATACATATATACAAAATATCTTTTATTAATTTTTGTGTAGGAAAACTATTCACATGCGTTGTGATGCATTGCTAGTACTACTAAACACTTGGAACTTTAGTTGCTAGTCAGATCCTAAAGATTATAATAGTGTTAGACTAATACAACAAAAACCTATAAGGAAGCTTTTCATTATAATGTGTGTAGTAAGGACCTTTCAAACACTAACATCATCTCCCAATATATCAATTGTAGCAGTTTCTGACACCCAACTTATTCAAAATCTCAGCATCTCGAACTTAACAAATCTTACAACAGCCTTTTGGTCACGACTTATTTTTAACAGATCTCATTGTTCCAACACCTGTTCTCCAACAAATCTTAAATTAACTAGGTATGCCTCTCTTTTGTATTCGAAGTATTAACAAAACAAATCCTTTGTCGATTCCACTTGTACCAGGTTCAACACAAACATAAACTTCAAAAAGAATAAACAACTAATTCCAATGTGTTTCTAAGTGACCTAGCTTTTGCATTTGCAATGTTAATTGACAAATGGATATTCTGGTGAAAACAATGGGAATAAGGAGTGGGTAAAGGTTGGTTCCCTTACAAATGTCAACTCACAGAATGCCAGGGGACAGGCATGACAGGCTAATGGTTAGTGATGGGAGGCCGAGTATCACTGTTCTATTTGACAAGTAAATTGAGTGAGGGATTCAAATGGAGAGGAGCCTAATCATGTTAATGGCCATGACGTTCATGATGTTAAGCAAGTCAGGACTCTTTAAGATCATGAACTTCTCGGGTTTCTGAAGCAAGTCAACAATATCTCCATGATGTCCATCAAGCAGGAAAATATCCTGTCAAGGAAAATTTTAATCCTCGAAGGAACAAACATAATCAAAAGAATATGCTCTCAGTTATATTATGTAAAAATCCAGGAGTGTATACACACAACTGATGTGATAGAATCTAGAATAATGCTAAACTTCCAGAGTTTTATGATTAAAGAGGAAGATCAATTAAACAGAAACTTGAAGAAAATATAGTCACAGATGTTGACAAGCAATAAGAATGCAAAGTAGCAGTCACCTGAACATCAAGTTGCTTGGCAAGGGATACACTCTTTTTCAAAACTTCTTCTTGCAGGCGAGCATCATTATCATCATAAGCTCGAACAAGCATGGGTAGGACATGTGAAACCAAGTGCTCCTGACTAGCCTACCAGAGTATGTAACAGATGATATTATTAATAAGCATCAAAATGTGGTAAACATGTTTCTTTGGCAAGGAGGTCCAAAAAGGAAGATGGAAGATAGAAAACGACTATGTTACTTCAAACAAAATAGATAAAAGGTTAAACATCAAATTATTAAAGCCCCATTATGCAACTTGCACAAAGAAGAGGATGGTCACATAATTATCTGTGGCATGAGAGAGAGAGAGAGAGAGAAACTGGCTTCTCCCTCTACGTGGAAGGTGATATTCAGGAATGAGTTAACAATCTGCTTCAACCTCATTCAACATCAGCCACAGTTAAATCTTTCTTATAACCAAAGAATGCTTTTACAACCCATTTTTTAGCCTGTGTTGACAGCACATTCAGGATTCAGATGCACCAGTAAGAAAGATTTTCCAAAATTGTTTTATGGACTGATACAACTTTGAATTGGATAAGTTGGTACAAACTACTAAATGGAAAAAGAAACTAAAAGAAGATTTAAAAAAAAAAAAGCCACTAGGCAAGAACGTCGTCAGTGGTAACAAGCACAGTTAACTAATGGACTAAGATTGATTGATCACACAGGTTAAGATAGATTGTTTTTTAATATTTTGATGAGTAAGACAAAAAAATACAAGTTGCAGGCTTGCCAATACATAAATTACTGACTTCCCCATGGTTAACCAATTTAGAGTCTCTGGCCCATTGGTGGAAGAAGGTTTAGATTAACAAAGAAAAGTAGCAGGTTATAATTTACAATAAAGCCACCAGCATTATAACAATACTTCGTTTCATAATAAGAGTCCCTTTTTGACAATACAACTAAGGAAACAATATTTCATGTATTTAAATTGTATAAGGAAAGTTTGCATTTGGAAAGATAGATTCCAATAGCCTCAATCAACGTTTTAGAAACTTTTCAAAAATTTGAATTTTCAAGGTTTTCCGCCAAGATACACCGGTTAAAATTTGAAATCATTTTACCATTATATATTGCTTATGAAACTAGACATACATAATCAGAAACTAACCTCACTAGCAACTCATTACTACTAGATACAACAACCAGTTCATCAACATAAGATCAAGAACTGTCATAGCTCATTAAATTACCTTGTTGATAATTAGCTCTGCATGCTTCACAAGTAGCAAAAGTGTCTCACCTGCAGCAGTACTCAACACAGGAACAAGAGCTGGTAATGTTGATAGCTCAAAATCATTTTTATCCTGCAATAGTTAAAGACATCAACACAATATGTCCACTAGGATACACTTAAATAGTGATCATCAAAGACAACATGCATCTTTCATTAGATACAGCCCCATCAACACTTATATTTTTCTCCTAACATAGAACTGAAGAAGAAAAAAAAAATCACTCTCCCATGAACCAATACAATGAACTCCTTAAAGGAACAAATAACTGCTATGTTGAATAACTTATTTACACTCATTTGACTAGTCAACTTTTGTAGAAATTAGTCAATATAAAACCCAAAATTACCTGTCAATCAAACTAACCCACACAACCAAAGGCCGTCAACAAAACCCACCCCCAAACCATCACAACCACCAAAACCCTCTCATCTCTTCCCCACCCCACAACCCTGTCCCTCAACCACCTCACAAATGTAGCACTATCCCTCCACCAATACTGGATAATGCAGAGAGACCCCCTCCTCCGCTTCTTATTGTGAACTTACACGCAAAGAATCAAAAACAATATCACACCCCCCCCCCCCCCAAAAAAAAAAAAAAAACTTTCAGCTCCAGCCACCATCTCCCATACACACACATCAACCCACAATCACCATCAACAAAACCTAATACAATGAAACGAACCCAGCTCAACAAAATGTACAGCCAACAATTGTGTGCTTGCGTTTATGAAACTAATTAAGGCTTTTGCAAGGGTATTTGGGGGGAGCGGTTGAGGTGCTGTGATGTCTGGGCTGGGGGTTCTTCTAGGGACGGAGGGGTTGTAAACTAGTGGAAGGAAGAGGGAAGGGAGGGGGGTGCGGGGGAAACTGTGGGGGGAAAGCCGGATTGATTGATCGACAACAAGTGTGTGTGTGTAAGAGAGACAGAAAGAGTGTGTGTGTGTGTGTGTGTTTGTTCGTAAGAGAGAGAGAGAGTGTGTGTGTTCAAGTATGAGGTTATTTTTATTGTAGTTAAGATAATTTTGGATAGAGAATAAATATTATTGCAATGGACAAAAAGGAGTGAAATTGGCATATCAAATGTAAATGTTGCTAACATAGTGTTTTCTTTCTTTTTTTTTGGGCCAAGCCTATCATCATGTGTTTCCAACGAAAGGGAATATGACTCATAAAATTGATTAAAGGTAGCTATTATTCAAATGTTTAAGGGCGAGGGGGTGCTATTTTTCCAGGGGTGTCCTTGATTTTGTTCCTTTTATTTGGATATTTTGCATGTGGGTAGATATTTTCCCTTTCCCTCCTTCAATGTCATACTTAATACATCTAAAAATCATATTTTCTTCTCGGGTCCCTACTAGTCTTAATGGAAAAAAAATTCTTTATTTCTCTGTCTCTCTCTCTATCTAATCACATTCATTTTTTTTAGGAACATTGAATTTCCAAAATATTAAAAATAATTACTTACAAAAAAAATTATTAAAAAAAGTTCCTTTTTCATCTCCCTCTCGTCTAAACTTACGACTGTCTCTCTCTCTCTCTCTCTCTCTCTCTCTCTCTCTCTCTCTCTCTCGCCCTACAAACTACCAACACCTTCCTTAACTCACCTCAATAACAATCACCTATGAATCCAACTTCCATCATCATCATCACCACATCACTCCAACCATCTCTCATCACCATCTATAAGCTTACTCCCACCTAGGATATATTGCGCCTTTTACTCCTCAGCGTGGGCCTAAGTGCGCCTTTAACAACACTAGTGGAGCCCATGACAAATGAAACATTTAGATTTTAATTTCTAAAACTTTTTCATTGTTACCACCATGATTGGTTCCCAAGAACTAAGAATCGGTGATGAGTGGTTTAATTATGGGTGATAGTGGCATAATTTGATGATTGTACTGATATGGGGTTTGGTTTGGGATTTTTTTTTTTTTGTTTAAGGGGGGGTTGCAGTGATAATCTAGGAATCACAGACACTTTATTTTGGCCAAAATGTTGGTGTCGAACAAGCTAAAATGACTGTCCAATTTTTTTATTGTTAATTCTTTTTCAGGACACGCGGAGGACATGTTTTAAGTTTTGTTTCAAGTTTTTGAAAACTTTTCACTTAACTATATAATTAAGGGAGTTATTTTTATAATTTTACAAAGATATGAAACAAAGCCGTATTATAAAATGAGTTATAATTACTAATTGAACATAGGACAATTGTTCAAAAAAAAATCATAAGACAAGAATCTAACATAATTTCATATATGAATACAAACTTGTATGCAAATAGAATAAACTTTTAATATGAAAGTAATATGAAGAAAAATAGAGATACAAAATTTGGATTGTTTGAAATTGATGAAAATTAGTGTTACGAAGTGGAATATTTTTTAAAATGAATACTGTAGTAGGCATTGATTGTTGGATCATAAATGTTAATGATTAATGTGAATCAACATTTCTTATATTTTAGTTTTTTATGCGGTAATATTATGATGTGAATTTTTAAAATTAAGGAAATGATGAATTAAAATATGATTATGGTAATATTTTGGTTTCATCATATGATTATATATGTGTGTGTGTGTGTGTGTATATATATATATATACGTGTCCATATCTTATTTTTTTGAAAAAATTCTTGTCGGCGTGTCCATGTCGTATTCGCGTCTATGTCTCATAGACAAGGATCTAAATATCGTATCGAAACGTCTGAAACGTTTCGGATTTTCAACACATCCAAACGAAACTAGGGTTGAAAAGAAAAATACCCGTGTTTCGGTCGAAACGTTACTGTTTCAGACCATTTCGATCGAAACAAACATGATTCAACTGATTTGTAGTAACTTATTCTTGACAGGTAAATATGTGTTTTCTTAAAAAAAGAGGGTTACTTGGGTATCATTATTCGATTTCTTTGGACCTAGCATTTTTATGCAAATGCCTCTGGATATATGCTTTACAAGGTGATAGTAAGGGCAAGAAAGTGGTGGTCAGAATATAGTGATTCAAAGGAAACAAATTGGGGTTGAAGAGCAACAGAGGCGGCAAGTAAGATTTTGGAAACATAGTTGGTGCAAGAAGGCTTTGTCAATAAAGTTTCTTCAACCCCAATTTGAAAAAAGTTTCATGAGGTTCTTTAACAAGTTCAACACACAGAAATGTTTATCAATTTGTCTTGGAAACAATGTAAATTCTAAACAAAAGTATATTGGCCGGCTATATCAGATCTAGGGAACTCAGTTATAGACACAAGTAATGTGTGCAGATATACATGGATATAGATGAGTGTGTATTTGTTTATGGTTCCTCTAACAGTGGATCCTACAAATCTTCCTGTCAATACAAGTTTCAACAGATTTGCAGATTAGGTAGCTTCATGGTCAGGTTTTAAAAGTTCATGGAATATTAAAGTTAAAATGAAATAGATATGTAATAAATAGGCTAAATGAAACTACATATTTCAAGGATGAACTATCTACAATACCTGCGACTCTGCAATGGTTAGAACCATGGGCAAAATCATTGGTTGCATTACCATATTTCGCAGCTCTGCACAAAGAGGCGGAAGAACCTGCATGCATCAGCATAGAAAACTGCGATCACCACAAACTTCATGTCGCTTAAATGCAATATAGAGGGCAACTAGATAACATACATCACTTAGAACCAAAGTTCTTTCTCAGTGGCAAAGTTTCACCCATAACTAGCCGGATAACTTAGAATCGAATCCTCCTCCCCCATTGTTGTAAATCAGGGGGGAAAAAAGGATCATATATAATTATATATCACCTCATTAAATCCTAATACAGAATAGGTAGAAACCTAGGATCATGGTATACTTAACAACACATCTGCAATACATATGATTAAATTTAGGGTAATCCTGAGCACAAGGTGGTGGCTTAGATTCTTTCGCAGCACTTGGAGTGAACAGCAACGACCTACTCATTCGAGTTAATAACACTTTACTGCCCTATATTTTAGAAACCTATACTTCAACCCATAGTGTTTGGAACTAAAGTGCAACAACTAACAATGTTTATGATTTAGGATAAAAAGACAATAATCCCCTTCATCTTTTCTTAATTCTTCATGATCTTCTTCCAAAAACTTTATAGAAATTGAAAAATCTACCAAATGATAAAAAATGAAATAAAGATTGATTTATTTTAAAAAGAAAAAAAAATAAAACACGTATGAAGGCATAAAAGCCATCTTGACATGTTATTTTATTCAAAAAATTATCAACAGCGAGCTAATGGCTCAATAGTTAATATCAATACCCTTGAGCTTGTGGCTTCAAACTTTATGACAGCCTCTTTGTGAATATAATGTTAAAGACTAGGCTAGTAACAAATGTACCCCTCTCGGACCTCACTAATAAGAACTAAAGTGCATGTTATAATCTATACTACTCCTAAAAGGTTACTAAACCAAAAATATTTTTTGCCATTATTACCCTCAAACAATTGTATAAAGTCAAATTAGTGCTAGATTAATTACCCCAATTAATTAATTAATCTATCTATCTTCCAACTAAAAAATTAAAGACATCTACATCCTTATATCAAATTATCCAATATTTTAATCCCTCAAGTTAAATTAATTATAAACATAAAAAATGTTAATTAATTATTTATCCATTGTGTGCTGCCAATAACAGCACCCGTTCATCTCACACAGTCGGCTGAGTTGCTCCTCCTTGGTAACATCTCTCTCTCTCTCACACACACACTCTCACATGCACTTCCTCCGAGGTAACACTCACTGCCCTTTCATATTCCACATGTTTTGGGACTTCTCAGCTACTGGTTTTGCTTTATTTGTTTAGCTCAGGTATTGTCTCATGCGAATGACCATCTCAGTCGGTTAACAAACCCACTATTTCCATTGAACAAAATCTGAACATTTTTTGCTAGATTTGGCAATGTGCTTTTAAGATCTGTGGTTGTCTAAGTTATATGTTGCAATTCATCGGGTAATTTCATGGTTCACAATTTTTCACCCCTTTTGTGGTTTAGTGGTTGATTGAGCTAATATTTGGCCCAAAATTCTAATCTCCTTTTTTATCTATTTTGTTGTTACATTATGCACGTGCAGCATTTGTTCTTCTTCGTTGCACAAACTAGTATGTATTTTTCTACTCATCATCATTTGTTTCAATTCAATTTGTTAGGCGTTCTCAATTTTTCTTTAAACTATACTTATGTAATAATTTTGGTTAAAAATTTGCAATTTGTTACGGGGTTGATTTCCCTCCCTCCATCTTTCTCCACTTACCGGCTTATTCTTCATTTTTTATAGTTACAGGTTGGTGTTAGATGCAGTAGAGCTGTCCGTGGGGATCAAGTGTAGGCGAAGGCTGGGATGGCAGACAGGCGGTTGGTATGCAGGATGTCAACTCAAGCAACGGTGTCAGTGGCATGATCAAGAGCGTACATGTATAAAGGTCAACTAAAGATTTAGGCAGTTTTGGCTTTTACAATTGAATTTAGTGGGCATATATGTATTGATTTGGAATATTAAATCTGCAAGGTCAATTTGGTTAAGGGTATTCATGCAAGAAGCCTTACCACGTCTTAGACTTTCTTTTGGAACATCAGTTAATGAACTTGAGATGCCTATTGTTCACCTTGAAAAAAAAACATATGATATAAATCAAAAGTTGCACTTTTACTAGCTGTAGGTAATTCCAGAGAGTTAAGGAACTTCACTATTTGTACTTGTACTATAGGGATGGTACCCAAATATCCCTTGTTTGGGAATGAATAAGGGAGACCGGATATCTTTTTCGGGTTATCCCATGACCCAGATGCACAATGAATTTTCTTCCTACCTACACGGGTTAAATTTAACCCATCTATTTGGTGGGTTAACAATGCTACCCACGGGATAACTAGTGAAAATATCAAATTTGCCCTTACTTTCCCAAATGTTGGTGTGGAAGACAGAGGCAGCAGCTCTTTCTCAAACTATGGTTTCCAAAATTTTGATGTTGTATTGGAAATGCATAGGTTTTGTNACAGAGGCAGCAGCTCTTTCTCAAACTATGGTTTCCAAAATTTTGATGTTGTATTGCAAATGCATAGGTTTTGTGTGTGTGTGTGTGTAAGTAAACCAACTGCTTAGTATAATAATTCAGGAACCAATAAACAAATTGAAATGCACTAAACAGAGGTACATAATCATGGTATTTTGAGAGATGCAAGGCATAATAGCCTCAGCCTCGTACGCAAGGTGTAACTGCCTGAATTTGCTTCTAACCATCAAATATCCCGAGTCTTTAAGGTCTATTCAGCTACTTGAATACTAAACGGAAACATATAGCAACACAATCAGAGAACTTCGAAGATCTTCCTCATGGTTGTTAATGGACTGAACTTCCTCATGCTTGTTGTATAAATTTTTTATTTTTGTTAAATTGGTAAGACAGTGAAGTCCATTTGGCTCCTTTGGTATACTTCAGTTTATTCTGGCTGCTGATCTCTCTCTCTCTCTCTCTCACACACACACACACAAATGTTTTCAATATGTGTTTTATTTACTTGTTGCAAGAAATCATGCCTCTTGGTTGATTAAATTCAGTCTAGTATTGTGTGTATATAACAATATCTGACTTCATTAGTGCTTCCAAAGAAATGGAGTGACCATTACAAACTGAATGTGGCCATTAAAATATATGGCTTATTTTCTTTCCCTTTCTCTCTCACTCTAGATTTACAAGTTCGTATGTATGCTATTCAATTTCACTTTATTTCGTAATGTCTTACTGTACTATTGTTTTTTGGGTAATGTATGGCATATTGATATTGTCTGATGGGTTGGTTTTATGGCTTTATGACTTATTGATGGATATTATGTTATTTTGATGGTTTTCTATCTTTTATTACCTAACTTGTTTTCATTTGAAAGTAAGTGTTGTCTTCTTATTGCATTAAATTTCGATTTAAAAAATTTAACATTAGTCATGTGTGAAATATGTAATGTTTATATATTTTTCAAACTAANATGACTTATTGATGGATATTATGTTATTTTGATGGTTTTCTATCTTTTATTACCTAACTTGTTTTCATTTGAAAGTAAGTGTTGTCTTCTTATTGCATTAAATTTCGATTTAAAAAATTTAACATTAGTCATGTGTGAAATATATAATGTTTTTATATTTTTCAAACTGACTGTGCATGAAAATGATTTTGTTGCTGACTATTGTTTGGATACATGCCCCAACTAACATTATTATGAGGTTATTTTCAATAAGAATACACCAAGTTCAAGCAACCGACCAGGAGATAGTGTGGGCTCATCACCATCAGTGAATTCAAGGAAAAAGGAAACGATNCATTATTATGAGGTTATTTTCAATAAGAATACACCAAGTTCAAGCAACCGACCAGGGGATAGTGTGGGCTCATCACCATCAGTGAATTCAAGGAAAAAGGAAACGGTTCATTATATCCATGTTTTTGTTTATTACAATGTATGCTGGTGTTTGTAAGTTAATTAAACACATTAATGTGTATTTTCTATGTATGCCTTAATTTTTGCTGCATTGGTTGTATAAGGCAGCAGTTGATTATATCCATGTGCTGTTTATTGCAGTTTATGAAGGTATTGTTAATTTGATTAAATACATTAATGTACATATTTTATTATGTATAAATGTGATGTGGGAAATATTTCATCTTGGTAGACTAAGCCACCAATCCAAACAATGGATTGGATAGGATATATCCATGGGTAGAGAATGGTAAACTTGTATAAAAGAAATGGTCTAATCCGTGGGGCCTACGAAATTGCACATTTCATTCCCAAACATTGGTTTGGACCGAATATAATCCTTAACCCATCCAATTTAAGAGGTTGAATGGGTTTGCGTTGAATGGGTTAATATATAAAAAAGAAATCCTATCCTATCCAAACACACCCTAAAAAGTTAAAAAAAATAAATTACATAAAAAATATTGAATACCTATAGATTTTTTATTACTAAAAAAAGATTAAATACCTATCCATATAATAAAGTACAAAGGATTTCAAATCCCCCCAAGACATAAAAACGACTTTTGCTTTTCCCGGTCCAAATATTTTCACGATTATGTCTGTTTTGATCCGATGGTTGAAAATCATTGTTAATTTTTGTTTTTTGGCCCAAAACTTGATCCCTCCCTCACGCTCTCTCCATCCCATCACGCACTTTAAATTTTTTCTCTCTCTCCCCCTTTCTTATGCCTATTCCCTTCCTCCCCCCCCGGTTCGTCTCTACCTCTTGTCCACCCTCTCTCTCTCCCAAACCTTATCTCTCTTTGTCTCATGTCACTTTCTCACTTCCCTCTCTCTCTCTCCATTCTCTTGCTCCCTCACGCAGGCCATCCACCAAAGCCAACAGTAACCACACCTGAACCGCCAGATCTAGTGTCATCAGCACCACCATCACTAAGGTAACCCCTTCTGCCCCTCTTTCTCCATCTCTCTAATTCTTCTCTCTCACACCACGGCCCCTGTCTGCCATCACCCCATAACCCCCACACCACTCCAACAACCCCCTACCTTTATCCAATAATACGCACTGCAACCCACTCAAGCCCTATATTCTTAATGTCCAATATCAATTCATTTTGTCCTAGATCCGTCCTCCGCCTTCTATGCCCAAAACCCTAGAATCGACCTCCCCCTTCATAGTGTACCCCCATTGAGTCTCCTCCATTCACCCTTTCTCCTAATTCCATTTTCATGCTCTTTCAATTTCAATTCTTTATTATTGAGTTAGGTGGTGATCAGATTACGGTGGGCATGGTGTGATTAGGGTCCAACGGGGTTTAATTGTGTTGCGTGTGCTATTAGGTGCATAATAGATTGGTTTGTTTGGATTAAACTTTACATTTCTTTGGTACTTGGTATGTTTGGCATAAGAGTGGATCTGTTTTAAGTTGTTTTAGTGTATAATTGAAGTTTAGTGCATAATCTAAATTTGTTTAGAGAAAAACAAGTATTGATATAATTATTGCTTCAATGAAAAGAACTTAATATGTTATTTGTACTTTATGGCACCAGAGGCTTTGAAGCAAAAATTGGCAATGCAACCATTTTGAGGTGAATTGTGCAGTCATTTATGGCCGGCTCTCCTTGACGGTTAAATATGAAATTTAAAGACCATAAAGTTGAACTTGATTGTACTACTGGTATTACAATGTTTTTACAGTGGTCCAATAATTGGTTCGAGTCATGTTTTCTTTAGGACTTTGCCGTTTCAAAAATTACCCCTCTTCATGCCTTTTAATAATTACCCCTCTCTTCATGCTTTGGTTTCAAAAAATTTGTGATTCACTAATATTTTCTTTTTATATTTTTTTGAAGTAGTTGAATTAGTAAAAAAAATTGAGATGGAATAGAATCAAAATTGTTAGAAATGGATGATTGATTAGTTGGATTTTGCTGATTTTTTTTATTATTTGATGTAGTTTTGTCGAAATTGTTGTTGAAAAATAAGCGTTGGATTTTTTGTTGATTATTTGACATAATTTAGTTGGAATTCAATTGATTCAAGTCAGATAAGATTGGATTGTCATATTAGATGTTCAATTCTAAGAAAAAAGTGCCGCCGGGCACATAGCTAGTAAATTTTAAAAAAATCTATAAAATAAAATAGGAAACAATCGAACCTTATAACGCAATACACGGGAATCAAAATCTTTCCACATGTCTGATAATGCTTTTAGAAACTCAGACTTCTGCACGTTATCTCTTTCCTGCAAGTAAATAAGATCGGTTGCTCAAAAAGTCATTATTTATTATCCTTCTTAAACTATTTTTTTGCATGATGCTATATGTTAGCTTCATCCAATCAGTTTGTGACAACGACGCTAAAAGGTAAATGCATACAAGCATGTGGTCCAGGAAACGAAGAGCACGCAAACGAGTGTCATCACGGAAAAAAGGGGAACCTGAAAAGGAAGACCATAAAATTTAGAAACAAAGATAAATCTAATACAGGTCAAATCTATGTGACAATTCAACGCTTGAGTTGTGAGGACCATTAATCGAACAAAAAAAAAATTCTGAGGACCTACTAAACACCATAACCATCGAGACAAATCCAAAGCAGTTCAGAAAAAAGACTATTAAAGTGCCCCAGAACTCACAGTGCTATATTACTTTTAGTCTTTTACAAATCAATACATAATTTTTTTGACTTGTATAAAATCTTTTACTTGTGTACATGTAGTAAAGTCACACAAGATAACAGTAGTTACATTGTGGCAAGGGATCACATGAATCGAGCATAGTAACATACATATTATGATGATTCTTCTCATCCTCCCATACCCCCTCTTTTTATGCTAACTCAGAAAATAGCAAGCATACATGATGTATTGATACCTCTCATCCTCCCACACCCCCTCGATTAGTAAAGTGTTAATGCATTTTCCTTTCATAGCCAAATACAACAATATGCCAATAAATTCTGTGCACCCATAATTTGATTCTTACAGATCTTCCTTGATATGTATCAACAAAAAGGAATATCATGGAAATAATAAATGTAGATTCACAAACTAACCTCGAGGCTAAAGAAATTACAAATAGCCCTCTGGGATTCCAGGCCAATACATACTCAACCCCCCAAAAAAAAAAAAAAATTAGTTGTCATTCAATTGACTGACCAAATTTTGATGCGACCACCAAACATTTTCTCAAAATGCTCACACTTTGCCCTAATTGGAATTAAAAAGTGAATATTCATCAAAATAAGAACTCTAGGAAAAGCAATGAAAATATTTAAGAAAACTCAGACACCCAACCCCTAGGGACAACCCACAGATAGATCCTCCTCCCACAGCACAAGACTCACTTTCCCCACAAAACCCAAACAATTTATCCCCTCCCCAAACATTNGTCACACAAGATAACAGTAGTTACATTGTGGCAAGGGATCACATGAATCGAGCATAGTAACATACATATTATGATGATTCTTCTCATCCTCCCATACCCCCTCTTTTTATGCTAACTCAGAAAATAGCAAGCATACATGACGTATTGATACCTCTCATCCTCCCACACCCCCTCGATTAGTAAAGTGTTAATGCATTTTCCTTTCATAGCCAAATACAACAATATGCCAATAAATTCTGTGCACCCATAATTTGATTCTTACAGATCTTCCTTGATATGTATCAACAAAAAGGAATATCATGGAAATAATAAATGTAGATTCACAAACTAACCTCGAGGCTAAAGAAATTACAAATAGCCCTCTGGGATTCCAGGCCAATACATACTCAACACCCCAAAAAAAAAAAAAAATTAGTTGTCATTCAATTGACTGACCAAATTTTGATGCGACCACCAAACATTTTCTCAAAATGCTCACACTTTGCCCTAATTGGAATTAAAAAGTGAATATTCATCAAAATAAGAACTCTAAGAAAAAGCAATGAAAATATTTAAGAAAACTCAGACACCCAACCCCTAGGGACAACCCACAGATAGATCCTCCTCCCACACCACAAGACTCACTTTCCCCACAAAACCTAAACAATTTATCCCCTCCCCAAACACTTGAAAGCCAAACTCCTAACCCTTATTGCACCGAACCCACTACCTCCCAACACCACCACCGACAACCACCACGCAAACATCCATCCTACCGTTGGATCCATGCCACTGCTTTAGATGCTTAGATCACCATTTGCTCGAAACTCGCAGAGAATAAAATAATCCATACACATCTTTTGTTTTCATTCTACACCTAGAATTTTGTCGAATGACAATAAAAGGAGTTGGTCGGGGTTGGAAATTCTTATAATCATTAAAGTAGAAAGGCCAGGTCAATAAGCAGGGTACACAGTTTGAACTTAAATTTTTCAAAAGGAAGTATCTGAAAGCCCTTGTGATTTGTTACTTCTAAGACTGGTCGTTACACCATTGTAGTAAAATTTCTTCTATTGTTCATTTTGCCTGTTATCTGAAATCTTGTTTACGAAGTTGTGTCTATATAATAATTTAAGTACATTTTAAACTACAATCCAATACTTAAAGTATGCATGGGTGTGTATCTCATCATATTCAGAAAATGAAGACAGTACATATTCAAATGGCAGATATTTACACCTGTAAAATCCAAGGCTGTCGGCCTGAAAGACTCATTTGCAGATAGCATTCTTTGCAAGTCTGGAACTAACTCTGGTGGAATGGATGAGAAAGCCGCGCTGGATAAGTAAGCCAAATTATTCATGTACTGCATGAAAAATACAGAAGTAACAACCATTATTAGACTCTGAAAGTAGTGATGATGACGCCAAAAAGACAACTTAGAGAAAACTTGAGCATATAGACCACTTTAGACAGAATTTTAACATCCTATAAATGTTTCACAATGCCTTGAGGAGTACACAAAACACATCCACTAGCACAGCAACTGATTGCAAAAAGACTATNGATGATGACGCCAAAAAGACAACTTAGAGAAAACTTGAGCATATAGACCACTTTAGACAGAATTTTAACATCCTACAAATGTTTCACAATGCCTTGAGGAGTACACAAAACACATCCACTAGCACAGCAACTGATTGCAAAAAGACTATTTTTCATGTTAAGAAAATTCTTATTCAAAAGATTGTGGAGAGGCAAAAGGAGGTCTCTAACATGCTACCACGAGCGCTCTCTTCAATCCATTGATTATTAAAATAATATTAACAAACTAAAGAGATCCACAATGGAAGAAATAGAATAGAAAGTGATGGAGCATAAAAAAGTTTCAAGAAGCAATGGATTTAAGTTAGGCTAAAATCATCAAGGAAGCAGTAGTGCAACATATTGTCTGTTGGATATATGATCTGCTGGCAATTTTTACATATGTTCCGTTTTAGGGGTGGATTCGATGTCCAGCTGCCAAATAGATCCATATAACATAAAACTGTGATCAATTCAAGAACTTCTCATAAACTAGGGAAGCCTGTAGGATTTTGTAAAGCAGCCATGCAACCAAATAAGCTTTCTTCCTCTCCTAGACAAATAAGCTTTCTTTCATCTATCTACCCTTTTCCCAACCTTATGGAATATGAAGTATGGATACTTCGATCGGAGTGACGTACCTATATCTGATACGTATCGGATACTAATACTCATTGNAAATAAGCTTTCTTTCATCTATCTACCCTTTTCCCAACCTTATGGAATATGAAGTACGGATACTTCGATCGGAGTGACGTACCTATATCTGATACGTATCGGATACTAATACTCATTGAATATGTATTAGATACTTTCCGTACATATCAAATAATTAATAAAATATTTATCATTGATAGATACTTGTCGAATACACCTCGGATATGCGTATCTCCACAGTATATATATTCGCCTTATAATTGGTTTGGTATGTTCTTTAGAAACCGTGAATCATACAAATTGGAATTGCTCATTCCAAGATATTCATTTGGACGTGCATCACATATCACAAGATTTGTCAATTCTTTACAATTTAGTTAGCTTGATTAATGAGCTTTTATGGCCTATGCTAAAGTCAATGAAGTCTATTGCAATTAAATACTAAGTAAAAGTTGGACTCTCAAATGGTGATGGGTATTCAGCTTTAGGGTTATATAAAATCTTGAATTTAAAATACCATTAAGCAGTCCTATGTCAGTAACATAAATTATTTTAGTTTGGATGTGTTTTATTTCTTAATCCCTCATATCTCTATTATTGTAATAACATTCTTATATATATACAAATACATACATACATACATACATACATATATATATAGATGTATATTAGTAGTACTCTTATCCTACTTTTTGATATTTTGTTGTATCATCGTGTCGTACTCGTATCCCGTATCCGTATCCCTACTTCCTAGCTTTTGGATCACTTGTTCCCACAAATTTATGGGACTTGGATTATCCCCTAAAGGTAAACCCAAATACTTTAATAGCCATTTTGAAATAGAGCATCCTAAAGCTTCAGACAATCTAACTAACTTGCATTGTTCACATGAATTCCTCCAATTGTTCTCTTCGACAAGTTCACTTTGAAACCCGACAACAACTCAAAACATTTCAAATTAGAGCAATTACTTAAATATTCTTTTAATTTCCACCGCAAACGAAAATTGTATCGTATGCAAATTGTAAATTAGTTAGTTCCACTTTTTCCCTCCCATTTTAAAACCCTCTACTTCCCATCTATAGCTAGGCTATCCATCATTCTACTCAACATATCAACTACCAAAGTAAAAAGAAAGGGAGACAGATAGCCTTCTAAGACCCCTAAGCTTGGGGATTGTTATCTAGTTCAAGCACTTCGCCCCGAGGACCATCTTCAATGGTTTCCATGTATGCAGCTGCAACATCTGAATCACAAGGACTAACTTCATTGGTAGCCTGTGACTTACTTAAAAGCTTCTGGATTAGTTGAGTCATTAGCATAAAAAAAACAGAGCATTATTTGTAGCTTCAGTCACACCAGCAGCATTCAGTTTAGTAGGTGCATTTTGAAGTAGCAGCATTATAGCAACAGGCAATTTTTCTATGGTAGGTGCTGAGCTTTGAAGCCCCATTAACAATAACAAAGAATTTCACCAAAACNAATGGATGAGAAAGCCGCGCTGGATAAGTAAGCCAAATTATTCATGTACTGCATGAAAAATACAGAAGTAACAACCATTATTAGACTCTGAAAGTAGTGATGATGACGCCAAAAAGACAACTTAGAGAAAACTTGAGCATATAGACCACTTTAGACAGAATTTTAACATCCTACAAATGTTTCACAATGCCTTGAGGAGTACACAAAACACATCCACTAGCACAGCAACTGATTGCAAAAAGACTATTTTTTCATGTTAAGAAAATTCTTATTCAAAAGATTGTGGAGAGGCAAAAGGAGGTCTCTAACATGCTACCACGAGCGCTCTCTTCAATCCATTGATTATTAAAATAATATTAACAAACTAAAGAGATCCACAATGGAAGAAATAGAATAGAAAGTGATGGAGCATAAAAAAGTTTCAAGAAGCAATGGATTTAAGTTAGGCTAAAATCATCAAGGAAGCAGTAGTGCAACATATTGTCTGTTGGATATATGATCTGCTGGCAATTTTTACATATGTTCCGTTTTAGGGGTGGATTCGATGTCCAGCTGCCAAATAGATCCATATAACATAAAACTGTGATCAATTCAAGAACTTCTCATAAACTAGGGAAGCCTGTAGGATTTTGTAAAGCAGCCATGCAACCAAATAAGCTTTCTTCCTCTCCTAGACAAATAAGCTTTCTTTCATCTATCTACCCTTTTCCCAACCTTATGGAATATGAAGTACGGATACTTCGATCGGAGTGACGTACCTATATCTGATACGTATCGGATACTAATACTCATTGAATATGTATTAGATACTTTCCGTACATATCAAATAATTAATAAAATATTTATCATTGATAGATACTTGTCGAATACACCTCGGATATGCGTATCTCCACAGTATATATATTCGCCTTATAATTGGTTTGGTATGTTCTTTAGAAACCGTGAATCATACAAATTGGAATTGCTCATTCCAAGATATTCATTTGGACGTGCATCACATATCACAAGATTTGTCAATTCTTTACAATTTAGTTAGCTTGATTAATGAGCTTTTATGGCCTATGCTAAAGTCAATGAAGTCTATTGCAATTAAATACTAAGTAAAAGTCGGACTCTCAAATGGTGATGGGTATTCAGCTTTAGAGTTATATAAAATCTTGAATTTAAAATACCATTAAGCAGTCCTATGTCAGTAACATAAATTATTTTAGTTTGGATGTGTTTTATTTCTTAATCCCTCATATCTCTATTATTGTAATAACATTCTTATATATATACAAATATATACATACATACATACATACATACATACATACATATATAGATGTATATTAGTAGTACTCTTATCCTACTTTTTGATATTTTGTTGTATCATCGTGTCGTACTCGTATCCCGTATCCGTATCCCTACTTCCTAGCTTTTGGATCACTTGTTCCCACAAATTTATGGGACTTGGATTATCCCCTAAAGGTAAACCCAAATACTTTAATAGCCATTTTGAAATAGAGCATCCTAAAGCTTCAGACAATCTAACTAACTTGCATTGTTCACATGAATTCCTCCAATTGTTCTCTTCGACAAGTTCACTTTGAAACCCGACAACAACTCAAAACATTTCAAATTAGAGCAATTACTTAAATATTCTTTTAATTTCCACCGCAAACGAAAATTGTATCGTATGCAAATTGTAAATTAGTTAGTTCCACTTTTTCCCTCCCATTTTAAAACCCTCTACTTCCCATCTATAGCTAGGCTATCCATCATTCTACTCAACATATCAACTACCAAAGTAAAAAGAAAGGGAGACAGATAGCCTTCTAAGACCCCTAAGCTTGGGGATTGTTATCTAGTTCAAGCACTTCGCCCCGAGGACCATCTTCAATGGTTTCCATGTATGCAGCTGCAACATCTGAATCACAAGGACTAACTTCATTGGTAGCCTGTGACTTACTTAAAAGCTTCTGGATTAGTTGAGTCATTAGCATAAAAAAAACAGAGCATTATTTGTAGCTTCAGTCACACCAGCAGCATTCAGTTTAGTAGGTGCATTTTGAAGTAGCAGCATTATAGCAACAGGCAATTTTTCTATGGTAGGTGCTGAGCTTTGAAGCCCCATTAACAATAACAAAGAATTTCACCAAAACATAATCCACTCTCTCCATCTCAATCCAAAGCCTTTATAATTCAGTACATAATCCAAAAAAATCCAAATCCACCACATATCATACGCTTTGTCAAAATCCACCTTAAAAAACAAATCCCTGTTTCTTTTTTTCCTCATACTCCTCAACAATCTCATTAGTGACAAGCACCGCATAAAACTTGCTTTCCTTTACATGACTTTAGCCAAGACTTTGTATTGACTAGTAACTAAGTAAAATAGGCCAAAAATCCTTTTTCCATAAGAAACAACACTTTTATTGATAATAAAAAGCTACACATTACAAAAATCAATCATAGTTGGAATAGTAGGCCAACCCAAGAATGAGTGCCTTCCAAGTGCACAGCAAAGAGAAAAGTATTAGGACATTGCACTCAATAGTACGACTTGCAAGATGTTGTCCAATTTGCAATAATACTAAAAAGAGGCATGTTCTCAAACTCCATAGTCACAGATGCCCAAAAAGAAGCCCAGAATTGTACTCGATCCCATAAGCATTCAACTTCTTCCCTATTATCTTCAAAAATTCTTGCATTCATCTCCCTCCATATCACCCAAATGAAGCCAAAGCACATTGCCAAAGCGTCTAACCCCTTCAAACTCCTCCCAACTTTCTAAATTCCACAATGTCATTGATCTTGGAGCCACCCAAGAAATACCAACAAACTCAAAACATTTTATTCCATAGTGAGTGGGACACGGGACAATGCAAAAATAAATGGCCCACTGTCTCGCCATCACACCTACACATAACGCATCACTGCGATGAAATGCAATTCAAAACTCTTCTTCTTTCAAGCATATCATTGGTATTAATTTTACCATGCACAAACTTACACCTTTAAAGGCATTTTAGCCCTTCAAATCGTCAAAGACGGATAAAATAATGGAAGTGACGAATCATCAATTAGAGATTCAAAACAAGATTAGCAAGAGAAAATACCCAAAAGATCACTAATTCAAACTCTTTTATCCAAAGAATTTGGAGACAATGAATCATCATTGAGCATAAAGAAGCCCTAAAAAGTCATAATACTTTCTATCATTGAGATTCCTACGANACTAATTCAAACTCTTTTATCCAAAGAATTTGGAGACAATGAATCATCATTGAGCACATAAAGAAGCCCTAAAAAGTCATAATACTTTCTATCATTGAGATTCCTACGACATCCAAAACCCCAAGTAATCGGAAATGAGTACAACAAAACTAAAGAAGAAATATATCTACCATGATAACAAGAAAGACGACAAAGGCGAGAAAATAAACTAGAAAAAGAAAACTATCCCCTCCAAACATTCTCCTAGAACCGCACTTTTGCCCCACTTCCCACCATGAACTTAACCCTCTAAGTGAAACTAGGTAACCCCTCAAAAATGAATTTTCATGGACAATAGGTCAAAAATCTTTTATCCTAGAAGACCTCTCTTTCTTGGGAATCACGCAAATGAAAGTGGTATTTGTACATGAATTCACAATTCCATTCTCAAAAAAAATTTGCAAATATTTCCACCAAGTCCCCGTATTACCTCCCAACATTTTTAGAAAACACTCATAGTAAAGTCATCCAAAACCAGGGATTTGTTACCACTCAATTGAAAAACGGTATCCTTAATCTCATCCTCTCTTAATGACCTCTCAAGTCAAATGCACTTACTTTTACCAATAGGATGCCAATCAAGACCCTCAATGATAGGCGTTTAAAAGCCTTTGGAAGAATACAATTTAGAGGGAAAAAAGCCACAATTTCACTAGATATTGGATTGTCACCCTCAATTACATCCCCCAAGTCAAATTCAATTCTAGAAATCAATTTCTTCTTCAACTTTCCACTCGCAATTCAAGGAAACATCTTGGAATTACTTTCACCCACTTTACTTTAACTTTTTGTCTCCAACTAGTTCTTCCTTTAACAACAGATTCAAACTTATTTCAAAAATTACACAAATCTCTCTCAAGCTCTCTTCAATACCACTTGATGATTCTAACAAATCAAATTGAACTCTTTTCAAAATACAATACTTCTCCACTCTAAAATCACAAAACACACTTTATTCCATTCTTTCAAATTTTACTGCAACAATTTCAATTTCTGCCCAAGTTTTAAGCCCTTCCCAATCCTCCACCATTGTCTCAGCCCACCAATCTTTAAAATTAAAAGAATGGTGTTCACCCACATATTCTCAAACCTGAAAAGCATTGGATCCCATGATTCCCATCTAACAAAAGATGTATCCGGACACAAAGGACAATGATCAGAGATGGCTTCGATCAAAACTTTTTGCCACACTAAAGGGAAAATCTCCACCCATCCCGATGAAAAAAGAAACATATCCAACATGCTAAACATCAAATTTTCCAGAAAATTAGACCAAGTAAAGTTAGCATTCAACAAAGGAAGATCACTTAAGCTACGTTCCCAAATGAAACCATCAAACTTATGCTACAAGTACTCCTAATTCCATTCGACCTTGGACTACGCAACCCAACTATCTCAAAGAGCTAATCCCACGAAAGCTCTATCCTCCTAGGTTAATTTTTTTTTTCTTTTTTTGGGAAACCTCTACAGTGCGAGGGAATTTTATTGATTAAAAATTAAATTATACCTAGCTAGGGGGGACTTGTGTACCTTAACCCCCCATGTAAATCTAATTACAACGCAATCTTCGTTATCCTCATTATCCATTATCCTCCAATCTCTGTCTTCCAGACCCAAGAAAACTGCTCAACACTTTTCAAAACTCTCAAATCCTAAATAATGAAAGCAGCCACCCCCAACCTGCTACATGAAGGTACAAAAGCACATTCCTTATGATGATTGCCCCACAAACCTTTTATAGTCACCACCTCTTTTTTATTTCCTAAAGAACTACAACATGTGGCCTAACTCTTCTCTACATATCTCTAATCACCCTTATTTTTCTACTATTCCCCAATCCCCTAACATTCCAACTAACTATGTCATTAATCATTACAAGGGTCTTACTCTCTCTCCTTGAATCATTCCGTTGTAATTAACTTTAGAAATTAATCCTCAAAGTTCCTTGATCCCATTATATTTCTAATCACTGCGCTTGTCCCTCTCNAATCACCCTTATTTTTCTACTATTCCCCAATCCCCTAACATTCCAACTAACTATGTTCATTAATCATTACAAGGGCCTTACTCTCTCTCCTTGAATCATTCCGTTGAAATTAACTTTAGAAATTAATCCTCAAAGTTCCTTGATCCCATTATATTTCTAATCACTGCGCTTGTCCCTCGCCCTATACCTCCCTCTGTCTTAATTGTTAACCAAGGATAGGTCTAACTTACTCCCTGTAACTCCCTCTACCTTTACCTATACCTCCTTATAACTCCCCCAAGTTTTTCCAACTGTCCCCATCCAACCTAGACCTTCCTTTAAGTATGGCATCCCCCCACCCAAAAAAATAAGATGTTCTGCATTCGATTAACCCTATTCCCAGTGACATCTCTATCCTCACTCCTACTATGTCTTGCCCATTAAGAGTCCTCACTCCTACTATGTCTTACCCATTAAGATCAATAGTATCAACAGGAATAAGCAATTCAATGGGTAGGACGCCAATGTACAGACTATCTTGGGACTTCAGGAAACAAGGAGGAAGACAAAGAGGAAAAAAATTAAGATGTAGGATTCCATATTCAAAGCAATTGGGACATCCTCACAAAAAAAAAGATGCAAATACGGCCGGGATACACCTATACAAAATATATTTTAATTTTTTATTATGATGTAATTATTAGTATTTAATCTCTAGTAAGTTCTTTAGTAGCAATTCAAAAATAAGACATTGTTACTTTTTTTACAAGAAACATCAATATTACTAATTATAGAAATAAAATAGTGTTACAAGAACCAAATAAGATGTACAAGTCGTCCACCCCCGACAATTGTAAAGAAGAAAACAAGAAACATAAACAATAGTATTAACAACATAGCATAATAAATATTTACTTCAAATTTTTACTTTCAAATAAGCATAGTATACCAACAGTGAACGTGTCTAATTTAAGAAACCAAAACCAACATTTAAGTAACTGATTTGCCAAGAAGTACTAATTGCTAAGAAATACTATGTAATTAACCTATTTTATGTTCATTTTATATGTGATAGTAAATAATACTTAAAAAAGACCAAGCAATCTTCAAACCCATCTGGTATTTTTTTTCCTTTTTGAATAATTGTATTCGAGTTTAAGAGTAAGCACTAAATATTAAATTAAAATTTACACATGTTGCTATGCTTATGCATTGCTAAATCCGAAGTATATTCATCTTGGATACCCATATCCGAGTCTCAAGTACCTATAATAAGTATCTAATGCATATCCAAAAATGAAGAAATATTCTATTATTTTTTGGATATGTCTAATGCGTATCTGATATGTATCCTCAATTATCCGACAAAAATCGTCTCTGATAGGGTATTTAATTCAGATACGTCAACCTTAAGCATATTTTTGGATTCCAGCATCTCAAGTCCTAAAATTTCCTCCATGTCATTCTTAAGTAGCAGTATAGCACCTATATCAACTAAAAAATCTGCAATGACAGAGTCATCTTGAGCATCCAAAAAAATTATCTTCTTCTAGAAGAGGATTTTGCCATACCCCCAGTTCTTCACGAGCTCTGTTATCATCAAATAGTCCATTTTCAAATTCCTCCTCAACTCCAAGGAGAAGATTTGTAGTCTCGTAACTCACATTGAAGATCGTAAAACCCCATATTCAAGTAACCTTGGGAAGGGTGATGGAGTTTAACATAGTTTAAATGAAGTAATTAGTCAAAATGTGAATGGACTTGGATGTAGGAAAAGAGAGATTTCAATAAAAAAAAATGACCCAAAAAATGTAATGGTCAAATGTAATATTGCAAGAAACTAAAAATGAGACCCTTAGTTGTAGGCCGATGGGTAGAATCACGGGAACTAGGTTTAAAGACCTAGTGATTCCACCACCTTGTGGGAAGTCAGGTGGTATAGTATTATGTGGGATGTTTGGTTTGTGTCAGCCATAGATTCAGTTTTAGTGGAGTTTGTGTCTGTGCAATTTAAATGAGAAATGGGGATGATTGGTGATTGTCACGAATATATGGGCCCAATTGTCATGGTCTAGGGAGAAATTTTTGGGACGAGTTAGCTAGGTTACATGGGTTATGTGGCCCTAGATAGTGTCTGGGGGGAGATTTTAATGTTTTTAATTTGTTTAAGAAAAGATCGATCGAGGTAGAATAACCAAGAGTATGAAGGACTTTAATGAGATAATTAGGGACAGCAATCCGGGAGATCATCCCTCTAGTAATGCTTGGTTTGCTTGGTCTAATTTTAGAGAGAAATGTTAAGGGATTTTCAAAATTTCAAAGTGAGGTTAATAGAGATAAGGGCTTCAATAAATGCGGTGAAACTAGGCTGTTGAGGCAAATAAGGAAATGGGCTTAAATTGTAATGGGCCTTTGTTGAGATTTTCTAAAAATAAAAATATCCAGCCCACTGTTCAGGATTCCAAAATAAAAATCCCATGTTTATTGGGCTGGTTAATGAGACAAGTAGTGACTCGGGTTTAGATTCGAAGGGTCTCTTGCACACAAATTTAGTAAGTTCCGATTTAAAAGACACTACGAATTTCCAGAGCTCATTATGTGGAGGAGCGTTTTCTTCCTCTGGTTTTCATGCCATTAACTCAGATCCTGCAAGTTGAGAATCGGGTATATCTGATGTATGAGGCATCCAAGCTCATACATGAAAGAGGAGTCAGTAGAATTTCTGGGTCATGTGTAAACCTTTTTTTTTAATAAGAACCAAAACTTCCATNTATCTGATGTATGAGGCATCCAAGCTCATACATGAAAGAGGAGTCAGTAGAATTTCGGGGTCATGTGTAAACCTTTTTTTTTAATAAGAACCAAAACTTCCATTGATAAGCAAAAGCAAATACAATATTGGGGACAAGAAATCCACCTACAACTTAATAGCAAAAAGTTAAAAAGAATGAAAGGACCAAAAGAAAGCAAACTTAATTCATAGCCAGGTGATCACATAACTACATGTTGCAATCCAATCAATGGTGAGACAAGTGGCATATTGTCAAACTCTTTAGTTGCCACCACCCATAGAGAAGCCAAAAACTTAGATTTATCCCACAAAAACACCAAATGATCGTACCGGCCAATATCGCACCACAACCGATGTGTCTCAGTGCCCTCCGAGTCAATAATCGATAACACGACCTCGATCCAGTGTTTCATGAGAGAATCAAACATATTGAAGTTGATTGTCACTTTATTCGAGACAAGATACTAAATGGAGATATTGCAACTCTATTTGTGAGATCTAAGGCTCAACTTGTCAGACATGTTCACCAAAGTATTAAATCATACTCGTCTTATAGCTATCTGTTCCAAGCTTTAGATTAAACAATATATATAGTCCAACTTAAGGGGGAGTGTTGAGAGTATTACTATAATATTATTAGGGTTTACACTTATTGTAATATGTATACCACACAGAGAGTATACTTGTCTTTTGCATGTTTGTTCAATAACTATAAATACAAGTTGATAGTGAGAGGTAGAGTATGTGAAACCTCTCTTTGCCTCTCTCATATTGTGTTAAGTTTGTCTCTACTCTAAACTTAACTGTCACAATTCTGCACCAAACTCCTAACATAAAGTACCACGGAAGGAAAAAAGTAGAAAAGTTGGAAGACAATCCCCCTTGATAGAGGCCATGCATAAAACTAGAAGGTAGTTTCTAGCAATTGAACTCTCAGAGTCAAAAGCAGCTCTAAAATAACGAACAATGATGGTGGTTCATTTGCATAAAAGTTAGAAGAGTACCATCTTCATGTTGTTATGGCAGTCGAACAATGGCTTGCGAGCAATCAAGTGATAGGTAAGGCATCCAAAACTGAATATATCAGAAAAACATCCCACCGAAGATGTCTTACTTTGTACAAGTTCAGGAGCAAGGTAGTTAAGAGATGGCTGAAGGGGTATTACAGAATCCTCAACATCATATTCCTGTCCAAATCACATTAGAACATTTCAAACTATGATGTGCTAGGAACAACATTTGAAGCATCTTTAACACAGATTAAATAAGAAGTGACATTGATAGCTCTTGCAAAAAAAATTTGGAACAATGAAAAAAAAAAGCATAGGTCATAAATAGGCGATGCAGAGCACATCTAACAGCACACAGAAAATTAGAAACCAGGAAGTAATAATTAGATAGGGGAGGAGAGGAGAGTGATCACCATGTGTCATGTAAGTATATGGACACTTCCACTAAGGAGCAGATAAATGTCTTAAACGGTTGTTGACATGTGTCTGAACAATGATTCTATTCATATTTTCTAATAAATTGCATAGTTTCTAACACTTAGCCAACACTTACATGTGATCAACAAACCCTGTACATTAGGGATATTGTTCCACTGAGTACTTGCTAAAAGTTTTAACCCAATGTATAAAAAAGGGGTGAATTACAATTCAAAATTTTGCATAAAGGATTAAAATAGAGAACAAATGGCCGGGTGTCTTCGCGATGAAGTATGTGTGTGTATATGTTTGTGTCTGTGAGAATATAAATGCACAGAAATATACATATATGCACAAGTCATCTCTCACCGTGATTTGAAATTGAAGCGCTTATTTTTCATTCACCTTAAAATTGTAGGCACATGTTAATATCCCGCCATTATTTGTAACTGCATCACTTATTTTGTCATTCAACTTCAAAAAGAGGAGGTGGGTATCTGTTAAATGTTGCCAAAGAATTTAAGAATTATATGTTAGATCCTCGGTAGTGCAATTACTTAGTTACAACCTTCCATGAATACTGTCAAAACACTAGTTATAGGATCAAAAATTCATGAATTATGCTATGGATACAACAATATAATTCATACATAAAAAACACATCTCAAACATATCTTAAGATTTATAAAGTCAATACATATGTTCCACACATAACGTGTTCATCTTTGTGCTTCATAACGTGAATTTAGACAGATCAAAAGCAAATCAAAGCCCTTGCTACAAAATAATAATAATAATAATAAATCGATTCAATTAAATGAATAACTACAACTGAAAGATTGAAAAGGACTATGAGAGAGGTTACAAGGAAGAATCATATTTCCCCAGTCTTATCAATCTGTTCACTCACAGCATAATGGAAAGTCTGCACATTAGCCAAATCAGCTGAAGACCGATCTGCTGATATTGTAAAACCAAATCCACCAAGCTTCCAAGCCCCATTTGAAGTAATGAGGACACTCTGCAACAGAGCACATATGATGTCATTTGGAATACATATCCAATGAAGAGCACACAAAAAGGACTAATGTATAGGTTCTTGAATAGCAAAAAAATGAAAGATACGAAGATATATCAGTCTTTGGCATAAAAAATTAGTTCTCATTTGCAAAGATCAAGTAATGAAATGCATGCAACATACAACAGAGTTTTTTTTCCAAAAAAAAACCTTAAAATATTATTACAAATGAGGACATGTCCAACTTTTGAAAGAACATAATCCAGAATATCATCATTTTCAACGCTTCTAATGCAGGTTTAAGATACTGTAATCTGAAGTGTTCTAACATCATTTCAAAACAAACCCCCATAGAGAAAAAGAAAATTATTAAGGAAACAAAGGAGTCATAACGATAGCGTAGCCATAGGATGGTTGGACCAACGTGACCGAATCTAGAAGCCTAGGTGAACTAAGAGTTTTAGGTCCAAAATAAAATGTACTTGGTAGATTTGTTAGGATTTTTATTTGTTATTTTTATCATATTTTTAGTTAGATAGTATTTATTAGATCGAGATTAGTAGGAATAAGTTGATAGAATTTTAGTAGTAGAGTAGTTCCTTTATGGTAGGACACTTGGTCTATAAATAAGGATGTATTCCACATTATTTCAGAGTTGAATATTGTTAGTTTGAGAATTTTCGGCGGAGATTTGTATTTCTTGACCTAATCCTTGCGGGGGTTGGTTATCCCCTATCAGAGCTTAATCTCGGATCCAAATTATCGCTCTTTGCTGCCACATCATCTTATTCCATCATCAAGCCACTGCCTTCACCGTTGTCCAGTCCGTTGTCCAGTGGGTATTCGTCTGAAGATTACCTCTGAGCTTTCGAACCAGTTCAAGACGAAGAAGACGAACTTTGATTTGTCATGGGCCTTCATTCGTTCAAGGCGCCTCTGCCACCATCAACATCATTCTCTATTACCGGAATCCTTTTGGCCCCTCATTGTTACCATCCCCCATAGTGCCCCTTGCATCGTCAAAGTTTTGTGAGGCTGGGGTTCCCGTTTCAGCCCTAATCCTCGTGACGAAGAAGCCTTCTAGTGGGCTATTGAAGTAGGATCAACCTGACCCAAATCATCATATTTCCCTTAATCCAATTTCTTTAAAACCATACATCCAGATTGTTTAGGTAAAACAGTCGACCCAAGCCCAACCATCTAACTTGATCCAGTCAAATCTTTCATATTTGACTGTTACCTTGGTCTGACCCCGTTCCCTTGGTCAAAACAAAAAAAAAAAAAAAACCACATAATCAACTCAATATTCCAAAATTACAGATCCACCCCCAATACTTTCAGAAGTTATAGAACCCCCTGAAGTTTTTGAAAATTATATTTTTGCCCCCCCACAGTCTCAGAAATTATACTTAGGCCCCCAAAAATTGAGAAATTACATTTGGACCCCAAAATTTTCTGCAATTACACTCTCAGCCCGAAATTTTCTGAAATTACAATCTACCCTAAAGTTTCTGAAATTTCAGTTTGGCCCCAAAGGTTTTTGAAATTTGACTTTGACCCCAAAATTTTCTACAACTTTTCAAGTTACTTCTTCCATCAATATGGTCTCCAACACCGAGTTAAATGCTAAAATAGAAACTTTATCTGAGTCACAAAAGGCAATGAATAAAAGAATGGATTCATTGGAGGCATCCATAACATCACTAAAAGAACTCATGGAAGCTCATCATGTAGAGAAGAAGGGCAAAGGAGTTGAGAAAAATGCAGATTCATCTTCTTCAATTATCCATCATCAACAGGATGTTGTTCAAGCCCCGATTCGAGAAGATCACAGATTGATTGATGTTGAAAGGGGAGTTAAAGTACACGTTGACGATTTCCATGGGGATAATAATCCCGAGGCATTCTTTGACCGGATACATAGCCTCGATAGCTTCTTCAAATAGTATCGTCTAACTGATGAAAAGNACAGATTGATTGATGTTGAAAGGGGAGTTAAAGTACACGTTGACGATTTCCATGGGCATAATAATCCCGAGGCATTCTTTGACGGGATACATAGCCTCGATAGCTTCTTCAAATAGTATCGTCTAACCGATGAAAGGAAGGTGTCTTTTGTCGAATCTAAATTGAAAGGTACGGTGTGATGTTGGTGGGTGAAGTACCAACAAACTCACTATGATATAACATGGAATGATATGAAGACTTTTGACTCGTTATTTCGTACATGTTAATTATAAGAAACGAGTTCATCTCCAGTTTACTCAATTGGTTCAAGGAAGCCTGTTTATTGAGGATTACACAAAAAGTTCGACAACTTAGCCACCCGATCTGAGTTCATGTGGATTGAGAATATAATGATCGCCATGTATAGGCAATGGCTCAATTCAGAGATTTCTTCAAGGTTAGCTGCAAGTCGTCTTTACACTATAACAAATGCAATTTAGGTTACCGATCAAATGGAAGACGATCTAAAAAAGTGGGCTTCTTTGTGGTCCTCTAGGGTGTCTACAACTCAAAGTGACAAGACTTTTGTGGATATAAATCTGGGTAAGTCATTTGGTAAACCACAAGATAGTGCTTTTGTCCCCAATAAACCAACTCGCTCCGGTGTTACTTCCAATTTTCAAGAGGGTGCTAACTCTAATGCCAAGACAAGATGCTTTAATTGTCAAAGATTTGGTCATCTATCTTTTCAATGCCCTACAAAGGTTGTTGCGACAATTGAAAAGGGGATCCCCTAAGGAAGCTAAAGAATCTAATGAGTCAGATTTCGAGATTCAAGTTGTAGAGCCTCTTGTTGTTAATGAGGCTAATTTTGATAATTTGATATATTGGGTGTCATTCGTCCTCTATCTATTGGAAGTAAGGTTACCACTGCAAAACCTAAGCGTCAACGCAAAAAGACTTCATCATAGATTCCTCCAACTATTTTTGACAAATGTTATTCTTGGCCCCCCTCCTTACTCGCCGGAGTTGAGTTTATTTCAGAGGGGGAAAATTGATAGCATAGGCAAAGGATGGTTAGACCAACATGACCGAATCTGGAAGCCTAGGTGAACTAAGAGTTTTTGGTCCAAAAAGTAATGTATTTGGTAGATTTGTTGGGATTTTTATTCGTTATTTTTTTCTTATTTTTAGTTAGCTAGTATTTATCAGATTGAAAATAGCAGGGATAAGTTGATAGAATTTTAATAGTAGAGTAGTTCTTTTATGGTAAGACACTTGCTTTATAAATAAGGATATATTTTAATTAGAGTTCAATATTGCTAGTTTGAGAATACTCTGCAAAGATTTGTGTTTCTTGACCTAATCCTTGCGAGGATTAATTATCCCCTGTCTTTCCCTTCCTTCCCTCCATAACATAGTTAATGATCCCCCATCCCACTTTTAGAGTCTTTTCCATTTTGATGTCCCAAGAAATACGTCCACCTTGTAAAGTAAAAAGAGCATTTTATAACAATTAAATTATGAAAGAGATGGGAGAAAAAAAAAGAAGAGAATTGAGTGTATGACAATAATGAGAGCTAACAAGAATTAGGTTATCTTCCTTACCCTCGTGTATTTATAATAATAAGACTCAAAGTACATAAATACCTCGCATAGACATCTCTTAACACTCCCCCTTAAGTTGGAACATAGATATGTCTCATGCCCAACTTACAAACAATAGGATGAAAAACCTTACTGCTAAGTCCTATAGTAAAATATCTGTCAATTGATCTCACAAATGGCATAAACATAGCCCATTTTATTTAGTTTCTCTTTGATGAAATGTCTACCAATCTCAGTATGTTTGGTTCTATCATGCTGAACTAGATTATGTGAAATATCAATAGCAGCCTTATTGTCACAATACAATTTCACAAGCCCATTAACAAAAATTCCTAAATCTTGCACCAAGCCCTAAAGTCACGCAAGCTCACAAATGCCATGAGCCATAGCTCTATATTCTACTTGCGTATTAGATCTAGCCACCACAAACTATTTTTTACTACGCCATGTAACCAAATTCCCTCCTATAAACGTATAGTATCCAAAGGTAAATCTCATATTATCAACTGAGCCTGCCCAATCAGCATCACTAAATGCCTCCAACCTCAAGTGACCATGGTTAGAGAACAACATGCCTTTTCCTAAAGCGGATTTAACATACCTCAAAATTTTATAAGCAACATCTAGATGCACTATACGAGGGTCATGCATAAACTTGCTAACAACTCTCACTACATAAGCAATATCTAGACGAGTATAAGCTGAGTATATCAATTCCCCAACTAATCGTTGGTACCTTTCTTTATCCACATAGTCAACCATGCCACTGCTCAGCTTATGATTAACCTCAATTGGTGTGTTAGTAAGTCTACATCCCAACATGCTAGTCTCCTCAAATAGGTCCAGAACATATTTCCTTTGAGATATATAGATGGCCTTATCGGATCTAGCAATCTCAATCCCTAAAAAGTACTTCAATAGACCTAAGTCTTTAATCTCAAAGTCCTTTGCCTGGTGTAATTTGAGGTGAAACATCTCCTTCACATCATGGTCTGTAGCCACAATGTCATCCACAAAAACACTAAGAATAGTAATCTTATCACCATTATGTTTAACAAACATAGTGTGATCTACATTAATTTATTTGTACCAGTGAGAAATAGCTCAAACCAAGCTCTAGAAGACTGTTTCAAGTCATAAAGTGATTTCCTCAACCTATAAACTTTTCCAAAAGTAGAATGAGAAGAAACCCTTGTGATACTAAGGATCATAACATCTGTAACCCTTCTAAGTTGGAAAGTATCCAACAATGACACAATTTGCCCGAGAATGAGGAGAACAAAACAATCACACTTAAATACCGTGGTAGAAAGAGAGGAAGAAGTGAGAGACCAGAAAAGAAACTCAAAAGGAAACTTAAACTCAAGAACAGTAGAGAGCATACAATTAATAAGATATGCAGTAGTAAAAATAACATCCCCAAAAAGTTGTGGGAACATTCATAATGAACATAAGAGCATAGGCAGTTTCAAGAAGATGATTTTTGCACTCAGTAGCCCCATTCTATTCGGGAGTGCCTTCACAACTCGTTTGATAAAATATACCAGACTCTACAAGTATACTCAGAATTCACTATTAATGTATTCGGCTCCATTATCACTCCTAAGGGTTTTAATGACGGTATCAAATCATCTTATGAAAAGCTTTAAAGCAAGAACATACTTTACTTTTGGTTCGAAGTAAAAACACCCAAGTGATACAAGAATAACAATCAATGAATGTAACAAACCAACAATAGCCAGAAACGAGAAACAACCAAAGAGGAATCCCATGCTAACATACTGAATAAGCACAAAAGAAAAATCACTTCTTTTATTAATTGAAGGATAACATTAACGTTTATATTCGGCAATCTCGCAAGCATCACAAACAAAACTACTTCTAAGACATAATTTAGCTAAAGTAGGAAAAAGTTTCTCCAAAACACCAAAAGAGGGATGTCCTAATGGCGATTCCACTGAAGCAAGAAAGGAATAAAAGATGCAATATCCACTTGTAGAGCCTGACCAAATGACAATGAAGCTGAAGAGATAGCATCTAATAAATAAAAGTCACCATGTGCTCTACCACTACCAATTGTTTTCTCCGTCATCCGTTCCAAAAATATACAATGAGTAGGAAAAAAATGTGATAGAGCAACTTAGGGAATTAGTAAGACTACTGACGGAAAGTAAATTAGTAGAGAAATTTGGAACATGAAAAACAAATAAAACATGGTTCAAAGTCTTCTATTAATTTTTTTCACAGCTGGTTTGACCAGGGAGAGGAAGAGACGACTTATTTCAGATGAAGAGATAGAGAAAGAGAGAAAGAGAGAGAGAGAAAAATAGATTGAGAGATCAAGAGAGGGGTTCAAGCACGTGAAT